GAAATTCATAGGTAGTAAACTAACCGTATTATTATAAGTAAAAGTATAATAAATATAAAGTTACTAATGAATATTAGTAAATAAAGCCATGAAAAAAATAAATGAGTATTGCTCCGCGATCAGGATCGAATTTGTTAGGTTTTTAGAAATATTGGCAATCTTTAGACAAAAACATAGTTATAAAAGGGTTTTAAAAAGTCAAAGAATCAAATGGTAGGTCGTATAAATAATTTAGGAGTCTTTGAAGTCGTTTATGGAACAAAAGAATAAGTTGCCGAACTTATGCTAGCCTGTTTCCAAGTTGTTGCTCGAGCATCCAAAATAGTAACATTGTCGCTAGTCTACCATTTGCCTATCGCTCGAGCGGACTATCACTCGCATGTTGTTAGGTTCTCGCTCGAGCGATAGTGCTTTTTGAAAAACCATATTTTGCGTTTTTCAAGAGTTTTATCGGGTCCATACTACTTATAAACCTCTATACCATATATACGCACACCCCAATTCAAAAAATGGTGGATTGAATATTGAGTTAAAGAAGAAATCACTCCGTACATATCATACAAATAGTTCAATCCTCTATGGATTTAACCATATTATTGAAAAAATCAAAAGATTATTCTTCTTGTACAATCGTGGTTGACAACCCTGGTTGACAATGTACTCATAGGAGGGGGATCCACAATTTTTTTATTCAGCGTGGGTCCCCAATGTGTCTAACTGTTAACTAGGGTTGTCAACCCCGATTGTATACATAACACAATTGAAAATCAAATCCACACAATCTAAAACACCAAAGCACATTTTTCCACATAATATGTCAGAGTTCTAAAGATCAAGGAAGATGATCAAAGTTTTGGTTGAAGAAGAACGATGAGTTCTTAGTGATCCACATGAGATAGGCGAATTCAAAAAGTCGAGAGTTGGTGTAGGAGCTCGCAATCCAGGAGGACTTTGGTGATTATAGTCAGGAGGTCAGAAAGTCTTAAAGTTAGTCGAGTTCAATAGTGCTGTAAGTTGATTCGTTTATAGTAGATTCTTACTTGCTTTGGCCCGAAGTTTTTATCTCACGAGGAGTTTTCTCCTCAACAACTTTCTGGAGGTATATATTTTTCAACAAATTATGAACTACGGTAATCAACATAGGATAATTGTGCATATGAATTCATCTACATTAATTAATAATCACAAGTTGTTGCTTTTATTAATTGATTAATTTAAATTTCGTATAAAGACATATTCACCCCCACTAGGTGTTAGTTGGCTCGAACTTTATTATTTTAGAAGTATCGTCGATGATCACAAACATCAAGGACGATATTGTCGTTTGGGGATCGTTGATTGATATGCGCCATGATCTCTCGTGGTATTAGTTCTGCAATTCCATCCAAATCATTGAAAAATATTAATTTTTTTCGGTTACATACTTATTTTTTCCACGTAAATTCCATTTTATGATTATACATATAAATTTTCCCTTAAAGATTTCCTATAATGCTCCCAAGCTGTTTAGCCACCTTTTGTCGCCAGGAAGGAAATGATACTTATGGACCAATGACAGCATGCTCTAGTCGGTTGAGCACAACACCATATGGACTGTGCGTGGATGGAAGGAGCACGACCTTGACTGTATTTTAGTTTGCTTTATTTTGTTTGCTTATTTTATAATTTTTATTCGTTTTACTTTATGGCTTAATTATGTTTGGGGTCTTTTTGTCTGAAGTATCTGTTAGATATTTTTCATCATTTTGTATGTGTTTAATTTTTTGTTTTGCGAATGATTTGTCGTCCGGATTAATGTTTGTCGCTGCGCAATGGGTCAGGTCGTGGGGGTCGGGGGGCAGCGCCCCCCATGGGGGCTCGGGGGCAACGCCCCCGAAAGAGAATTTTATTTTCAAAAGTTTTTGAATAGGTGCATCTGTTCATTTTTAACAGTCACTTCCAATAGACGTACTCAAGGATTTCAAGGGATACACCTATTCAAACAGTTGCCTCAGTTTCTATAAATTTTGGGCGAATTCTCATTTGCAAATACATTAAAAACAATTTATTCTTCCTTCTTTCTCTTGGCATCAATCAGTTATTTTCGAGTGTCTTCTTGGTTTGATCAAATAGTCACAATTTGAATCAAACGCCTCTATTGTATCCTGAGAGAAATTTTCTATCATATCCCAGTTGTGACTTTGTTGAATAGGGGAGAAACATCTCTTAAAAGATAACGTTTTTTCGTGCCTTGGAGTTCATTAACGTATTCAGATTTCCCTACATTTTATCAACAGTATCGTGGGATTTTTGTGATAAAAGGAAATGGGGTTATTATTGTTGGAGGTTGTCTTTTCCCAAATTTAATAAAACAATTGATGTTTTTCTCACTTCTTGATCCAATCTCAGCATTTTCAAATAATGATCATGAAGTCAGAATTGTCAGACTTCGTTGAATTAGGATTTACAAATCAACTATAGTTGGATAGCGTCGCAGTATAGATTAGTGTGTATCAATATTAAAAGAATTGACAAAGAGTATATCAAAAACTATCTTCTTTTGGTAGGCTGAATATAATTTCCTATTACTGAAACAATAAAACCCCAAAACTTATAACTGTATTTCTCCAGACTGAACTGAGTCTGCATGTTGTCAATTTTTTTGCTGGTCAACTCAAGTGTTCAAAAATAGTCACAAAAATCCTTCAACAGAAGTACACAAACGTATAAAACTTAAGCAATTGACTAATAAATTGCATTGAACCAGTTATGTTGATACTCTTCAGATCAATAAATTTGATAAAACTATTTCATTCATTCTACTTTTGTTCTCAGTCCATATCCAGTACATGTTATCTATATGCCCAATGACTTTCATCAGACTCAAAACCTATTTTGACATTATGTTTACCATTCCTTGTAAGAAATTTGCTAAACTTTTCTGAAGTGTCGTTTAGATGTGGTTTCAGGTAGAAAATAATTTTCCCAGTCTTGTATCACCCAAGGACCATGCTTGATCTTTTGCCCTAGTGAGTAACCGCCTTCATACCAAGAGGATTAGCTGGGTTAAATAGCTGCGAAATACGAAATTATGAGAAAATTACCAAAAATGGCAAAATCCCAAAATTATACCAAAATAAAATATTAACTAAAAGAAGTAAGTTGCCAAAAATTTGGCTCAATTCGAGTTTTTTAACATATGGAAAAAAGGAAACGACATATTACCATAAATAGTAAAAAATAACTTAAAATTGAATTTTGGAAAGAAAAATAGTGGATTTTGGGCTCGAAATTGATGTCCACCGAGCATAACTGGGTGGCCACGACGTGCGCGCCGAAGAGAGCTTTCCGGATTGGGGTCATAATAGCGATTCCGATAACCGTAGCCAAAGTTATGGCCAAATTACCAAAGACGCTTCAAATTCCCCCAATTAAGGAAATAATGGTGATTCACTTTCCATCTTTGCGCCGATCCGCTATCTCATGGCATCTCAGCGCCATCATCGTGCTATCTGACAAATCAACATCACTCGACTCGGATACTCCTGCATCACATGACAAGTTGTTTTTCAACCAAAAAATTAAGTAGGAAGAAACAAATTTAAATGGAATAAAAATCAATGTTCTAAAAATATGCACGTATGCTTCGCACATGCTCGATGCTTTTTCAAAACACTTTGACATATGAGGCATGCACATGATAATGCAATATGCACACTTAAACCCCAAAATGCACACGCATTTGTATTAAAAATTGTATCAAAATTATCACGGCAAAATTCAACCCATTTTTATAACTTAAAAAAGGTAAATTTACCACATCATACATCATAATAACCCAAATCACCTAAGTCCATGAATTATATCCATCAACCCATAGGTTTTTGACGTTTGAAAAAATTAAAAAATTAAAAATCGACAAATTTTTCATAGAGTTGCAAATTATCTATGCCGAATCCGAATCTCTTTCTTCTTTGTCTTCCTTTAGTTTTACTAGCAAGTGATGCTAGTAATGAACAATTATGAATTGTCGACTGTCGTGTGACGATAAGGAGGAAGTTGATAATGATATTCTGTTATCTACAAGAGGTAATAAAAATTTTCAAGTTGAAGGAAGCTTCGATGAAGAGATTTTACATCCAATGATACAGAAGATGATTTGTCTGAAGGAGTTTGAATTGAAATTTGACAGATTTAGACAATATTTATTGTTTTTGAAATAGATGTTCGTGACTAATTTAATTATAGGAATTGATTTGTAAATAATTGTAGTATTTATAATTTTTAATATTATATTTTTTGTTAAAAATTTGAAGAATAGCTATAAAGTTCAAGTAATTGTAGTATATATGATTTTGATCAATAATTTATTTATTTGAAAAATTAAAGAACATGTATAATGTTTAAAGAATGCATTGTTTTATTTAATTATTATTTTAGAATATTTAAAATAATATTAAAAATTGAAAAACGCATAAAATATGCTTCGAATAGACATGCATATTCTTGTAATGCTCAATGTTCAACCGAAATGCATTGCCACGCATAATGTATTTTAGAATATTGATACAAAATAGAATGTGTTAGTCCTTGATATGTGCTTTAACGGCTTAATAAAGAAAATGTATACTTACGTTAAAGATAAATTTTGCCTCAACATATTACGCTCGATTTCTTAAGTTGTTATGTTACACGAGCGTCACTTCTCAAATTGTTACACTACACGCATGGTCTTACGTGTCAAGTTAAATATTTCCTAGGTGTTCACCACTTGTTTATATCTTTTGTAATCCGGCCAAATTAAATATTATCTCAGATTTACAAGTAAATGACGCAGTAATAACTCAATCTATTAACCTTATTTTTCCTTTTACACAGGAGACCATTTTGGTCATTTAATTAAGTTTTCCTTCATATATATAGGAACCGTTTCACCCTTAGAAGGTGCACAAGATAGTAAAACAGTGACTTCTTCAGTGTGGTAGTGAAAATTAACAAAAACCTCTCCAAGTTCACTCAAAATGGAATGGCCAGATTTTCAATATGCGCCTTTTAATGATAATCTTTCTTGGGATGATCTATTTCACCCTCAATTCGAGGTTGAGAAGCCAGCAGAGTGGACAGCCGAAGAGAACATTTTGTTTGAAAATGCTTTAGCTGAAGTTGATCCAAGCAATCCTGCCTTCTTTGAAAATGTTGCATATAGGGTTCCTTGGAGATCAATTGATGAAATCAAATCTCACTACCAAGCCTTGGTTGAAGATATAGAGTTGATTCAGTCAGGTATTTACCAAATTCCCAAATCTGAAATCGATGATCAGGACAACAAGGACGAATTACAAGAAAGAAATGAAAAGGAATGTCCATCACCGGCGCCTAAAAAGACATGCAATAGTCAGAAACGCCGAAGGGGTGTTCCATGGACTGAAGAAGAACACCAGTATTTTTCTTACGCATTTAATTTCATTATTATGATTATTATTTTTGACCTTAGTAATTCGAGTATTTAACAATTAATTACTTTCCTTAATTGAGTAGATTTTTTTATTATTTTATATTTTTTTTGGTAGAATAGAAGCTAGATTTTAAAATTTGATTTTCTCATTTCTTTGATTTGCTTCCTTTTTATTTTTTTCCCCTTAATAAAATTGCGACAAGGCCAAAGTATTCAATATTACTGAAATGAAGTAAAGTTGAATACAAACTTTAGAAGGAGACATACAACCTAACTTGCAGAAGCTAGTCGAGTAGATTGTGATGTAAATTTAAAACAAAGAGCAATAATCTCATGGTTCTCGTATTTTCAGCCGCTTGGTTCTCTCTTTTTTCCCAAAACCGCACAGGTACTTTTTGGGTTTAATAGACCTGTGCAGGTATCAAATGTTAATTTCTTTCCCATTTCATACATGCATTTCTTAGATCTTCTTCTCGACTGTTTTTTATCAATATAGATGCAACCTGTTATTTGATCAACCACAAAAATTTACATAAATAATTAACATATATGTAACCACAGGTTCAAAACTCTTGCATGCAAGAGTTCAAGAATCTCATGCCAACCATTTCGTAGTCATCTGAACCCATTTTATTATGAAAAAACAAATTAATATACGTGTGGTTTTGTGGCTTCTAGCATAAAAAATATTAATCCTCTGTTTGTTTTATTATAAATTCATTGAAATCAAGCATTGTTTTCAATCATACGTTCATAACTACTATTCATTCTTCATTCTATGCTTATTTATAAACCATATAAATTAGCCACATGGAGCTAATTTTTCAGTACATTCATTTTCTGGTGATATCAACTTTCTTGTAGCACTTTTATCAGAAATTTCGTCATATCTTTTTAGTCTTTAGCTCGACTCATAGATTTCATTAATTTTTCTTCCAGGCTGTTCCTCATGGGACTGAAAAAGTATGGGAAAGGAGACTGGAGGAGCATCTCAAGGCATTATGTCCTTAATAAGACCCCAACCCAAGTCGCAAGCCATGCACAGAAGTACTTTCGACGACAAAACAGTTTGACTCCTAAGGATAAGCGTCGACCCAGCATCCATGACATTCAATGTGTCAATCCGACCACTTTGGTTTCTATGCCTCCAATCAATACCAACTATATTAATAATAAAACAGTCATGGAAGATGCAAAACTCCCCTCTGGCAACAATTTTGAGCTCAATTTCAATGGAAAGTTTGGTCATTTTACAAATGTCCGTAATCCTATGTGTCCACCAGTTGGGACCTCATCCCTAGCAACTGATCAAATGTTCAATCAAGCTTCTACTTCCTATTCTCCGTCATGCATGTTCCCATCCATGCAGAAAAAACCCTGGGGTTGATCGGAAGGTAGATGCTAGCACTGGTCTCCTATGTTGCTATAGTTGTAATAAGTTTTTAATGGACACAACTTTTTTGCGCGAACTAAGATTTCTATGTTATTATAATCGAACTTTGGGTTGGAATATGTGTTTTCTTGTATTTTGTGATCGAAAAGGCGACAAGTAGCGTATAAGGAAACAAATCTGGCTATTTTCATTTTTTTTGTTAGCAGCAAGTAGCATACGAAGAAGATCTAGCTATTTATATTATTTTGGCAGTGACAAGTAGCATATAAGGAAGAAAAGCTAATCTATTTTCATTATTTTGTCAATTTTTGTAATCCGGCCAAATTAAATATTATCTCAGATTTACAAGTAAATGACGCAGTAATAACTCAATCTATTAACCTTATTTTTCCTTTTACACAGGAGACCATTTTGGTCATTTAATTAAGTTTTCCTTCATATATATAGGAACCGTTTCACCCTTAGAAGGTGCACAAGATAGTAAAACAGTGACTTCTTCAGTGTGGTAGTGAAAATTAACAAAAACCTCTCCAAGTTCACTCAAAATGGAATGGCCAGATTTTCAATATGCGCCTTTTAATGATAATCTTTCTTGGGATGATCTATTTCACCCTCAATTCGAGGTTGAGAAGCCAGCAGAGTGGACAGCCGAAGAGAACATTTTGTTTGAAAATGCTTTAGCTGAAGTTGATCCAAGCAATCCTGCCTTCTTTGAAAATGTTGCATATAGGGTTCCTTGGAGATCAATTGATGAAATCAAATCTCACTACCAAGCCTTGGTTGAAGATATAGAGTTGATTCAGTCAGGTATTTACCAAATTCCCAAATCTGAAATCGATGATCAGGACAACAAGGACGAATTACAAGAAAGAAATGAAAAGGAATCTCCATCACCGGCGCCTAAAAAGACATGCAATAGTCAGAAACGCCGAAGGGGTGTTCCATGGACTGAAGAAGAACACCAGTATTTTTCTTACGCATTTAATTTCATTATTATGATTATTATTTTTGACCTTAGTAATTCGAGTATTTAACAATTAATTACTTTCCTTAATTGAGTAGATTTTTTTATTATTTTATATTTTTTTTGGTAGAATAGAAGCTAGATTTTAAAATTTGATTTTCTCATTTCTTTGATTTGCTTCCTTTTTATTTTTTTCCCCTTAATAAAATTGCGACAAGGCCAAAGTATTCAATATTACTGAAATGAAGTAAAGTTGAATACAAACTTTAGAAGGAGACATACAACCTAACTTGCAGAAGCTAGTCGAGTAGATTGTGATGTAAATTTAAAACAAAGAGCAATAATCTCATGGTTCTCGTATTTTCAGCCGCTTGGTTCTCTCTTTTTTCCCAAAACCGCACAGGTACTTTTTGGGTTTAATAGACCTGTGCAGGTATCAAATGTTAATTTCTTTCCCATTTCATACATGCATTTCTTAGATCTTCTTCTCGACTGTTTTTTATCAATATAGATGCAACCTGTTATTTGATCAACCACAAAAATTTACATAAATAATTAACATATATGTAACCACAGGTTCAAAACTCTTGCATGCAAGAGTTCAAGAATCTCATGCCAACCATTTCGTAGTCATCTGAACCCATTTTATTATGAAAAAACAAATTAATATACGTGTGGTTTTGTGGCTTCTAGCATAAAAAATATTAATCCTCTGTTTGTTTTATTATAAATTCATTGAAATCAAGCATTGTTTTCAATCATACGTTCATAACTACTATTCATTCTTCATTCTATGCTTATTTATAAACCATATAAATTAGCCACATGGAGCTAATTTTTCAGTACATTCATTTTCTGGTGATATCAACTTTCTTGTAGCACTTTTATCAGAAATTTCGTCATATCTTTTTAGTCTTTAGCTCGACTCATAGATTTCATTAATTTTTCTTCCAGGCTGTTCCTCATGGGACTGAAAAAGTATGGGAAAGGAGACTGGAGGAGCATCTCAAGGCATTATGTCCTTAATAAGACCCCAACCCAAGTCGCAAGCCATGCACAGAAGTACTTTCGACGACAAAACAGTTTGACTCCTAAGGATAAGCGTCGACCCAGCATCCATGACATTCAATGTGTCAATCCGACCACTTTGGTTTCTATGCCTCCAATCAATACCAACTATATTAATAATAAAACAGTCATGGAAGATGCAAAACTCCCCTCTGGCAACAATTTTGAGCTCAATTTCAATGGAAAGTTTGGTCATTTTACAAATGTCCGTAATCCTATGTGTCCACCAGTTGGGACCTCATCCCTAGCAACTGATCAAATGTTCAATCAAGCTTCTACTTCCTATTCTCCGTCATGCATGTTCCCATCCATGCAGAAAAAACCCTGGGGTTGATCGGAAGGTAGATGCTAGCACTGGTCTCCTATGTTGCTATAGTTGTAATAAGTTTTTAATGGACACAACTTTTTTGCGCGAACTAAGATTTCTATGTTATTATAATCGAACCTTGGGTTGGAATATGTGTCTTCTTGTATTTTGTGATCGACAAGGCGACAAGTAGCGTATAAGGAAACAAATCTGGCTATTTTCATTTTTTTTGTTAGCAGCAAGTAGCATACGAAGAAGATCTAGCTATTTATATTATTTTGGCAGTGACAAGTAGCATATAAGGAAGAAAAGCTAATCTATTTTCATTATTTTGTCAATGACAAGAAGCGTCTATGGAAGCAAATCTGACAATTATAAATATATAAAATGCAAACAACTCCATGAACTAATTAATACTCTTAGCTCCTGTTTGGTCTAAGTGTAACGACCCGGATTTCGATATTCCAGCGTGTTACCAAGTATGAGCTCTTTAACATAAATTTCCAAAATATGAGATTTAAAGAAAAGTTTTAAAACAATATTTTATTTAATCAAACTATACCCTCGTAACAGTTTTTTTTAAACATATAAACTTAGGAAAAATTACGGAACGAAACAACTTGAAATGAGTTTTTAATAAAACAGCAAGCTTGAGATTGCAAAATTTTTTTGACCTAGCAAACCTTGATGAAAACTTATGAAAGTTTACAGGAAAGTATAAAACTCATATAAGTACATCATATAAAAATTCGGGATTTCGACGACTACATTTGAAGCTCAAAATTATTTTCGAACAAGCTGGTTTGCATTTCCCGGATTTGACTGTCACAGTTCACTAAATTTGTTACAGTAAATTCTATGGGACTCCGATCGTCCTATTTTCAGTTGCACATGATACATAACTCATGAGCGATCATTTTTCAATTAAAAAATGCTAAAAATTCTAAATATACCAACCATGACATCATTTTAAAGACAGTGGCTAAATTCTGAAATTTTTCTAAAACACCTGTTCAAACATTTAAATTTTTCTGTCTCAAAACATGTATTTAAAGTACAAGTTTCTGGGACATCCCAATGATTATTGAACATGAAGTGGACATCTAAAACATAAGAAATAAATTTCTCTAAGAATAACACATGCCATCCATGCCGAACCACCACTTGATCTCCGATTTCTTTGAAAAAATTAACTAGGAGTGAGCATCTCAAAGAAATACTCAATATGCTACACGTGCTATATGAACATAATAATCATATATTTAATTATGCATTCTTACATATTGTCATCATAAATAAGCAAATTGATGATCAAATAATCTACTTAAAGTTCTGATGAGCCTCTCGAACATTAGTTTAAGCATCTATAATACTTCTTTCACCAAAATTTAAGACAAACTCTAAAAACACTTCACATACTTCATGAAATAACATGCTTAAATGAAAATTAAATTTATATGATTAACAACAACTTTGCATAGGGATCCTCCTTAGTTCGAAGTGACAAGATAGTGTCGATGTCGAACGGAACTCCTCTCCAAATTCTCGAATGTAAAACTTTTTTATTCTTGGTTCTGCCGTTTGTGTCTGTATATGTATCTAAAAATCCTAATGTATATTGAAATTCCTACAAAAACAGGAGTCTAAAAGGGTATACTTTTATTTCCAAGTAACCACAAACGGATATGTATTAGTTATACTTTTATTTTTAATTTATTATTTTATTATTTTTTTCATTTTTTCTGTCAACTAGTGTAACAACACACGGAATCCTAGCTGAAAATGGTCATTTATGGTTATTTGAACTTCAAGTAATACAAATGGATAATTGAAAAAACTAATCCAACTTATATTCTATTCAAATTCAAAAGTCAAAAGTCAAAATCCAATATCTAGTGATTCACGTGGCCAAAATGTATCAATAATTAGAATATAACTTTCTTTCCACTGCAATAATTTAGGCTTAGCTTATCCGAAATAACGTTTTATCAATTACAAATTTCGCCATTTAATATGAGCTTCGAAACTTGACCGAAAGCTAAAATCTTGACACAAAGGCTTATTCTTAAATTTGTCTCGGTTTCTCAACTGATGAAACATGTTAACATGAAAATTTATTTCCGATTGCTACACTAAGTCTCAAGTCAAAGTCAACAATCAATTTTAAATACATATCGAATAGAATTTACAATTTTTCAATCACCTATTTTATAAACTGTTATCTAAATTTACTAAAATTTGATTTTAATATATACACCAAACAGGGGCTTAACAAAGAATGGAGAGCCAAACTAACCTGCAGTCAAATAAGATGGTTGTCTAAGGCTCCACATTTAGATAAGCCCCTTATAATTTTCTGCCTTTTTAATAACTCATTGCTTAGCAACGAAAGTCTCTGATTGAATGTGAATTAATCTTTGTATTTTTTTATTTTTTTTTTGTAGGTAATAATTAAAAAATATTTTAATAAATTTTACTTTCCTACATGCTGATGGTGTCTAAAAATATAAAAACGAAATATAACACAACAAAATTTCATCAATTATGAAACAACGAAGAAATTACAAATTTGGGATTATTTCCTTTTAATTCTTATTTTATGATCAACTGAAATTTCCATATATATATATATATATATATATATATATATATATA